GACTAAATTGCTACATTTGGCATACATTTGGCAATTAGTAAAAACAGCAGTTAGTAAAACAACATAAACTGATCTTCACTGGTGTTACCCATAAGGAAGGAAACACCAGTGACAATAATACCAGTGACAATTTTCATGAAAAATGCATTTTACAAAATGTCTGCTGCAAGGCATGTTGTCAATCATGGTATACTCACTAAATTAAGTAGTTTAATCCATTTGTATTCTAGTTTTTTACAGTTCCCTAACAATAAAATAGGTCATATCAGTGACTTCCACTAAAAGCTTTTTCCACTAAAAGTTTTGTGGCACTTAACAATCTAAATGTATATCGCCACCTAGTGATGTTACATATGACACTGAAGCTTCAAAGCGCGTATCGCAGGGGTGCCCAAACTCGGTCCTGGAGGGCCGGTGTCCTGCAGAGTTTATCTCCAACTTGCCTCAACACACCTGCTGGTAAGTTTCTAGTATGCCTGTAAGTGCTTGATTAGCTGGTTCAGGTGTGTTTAATTGGGGTTGGAGCTAAACTCTGCAGGACACCGGCCCTCCAGGACCGAGTTTGGGCACCCCTGGCATACGCGCTTTGAAGCTTCAGTGTCATATGTAACATCACTAGGTGGCGATATACATTTAGATTGTTAAGTGCCACAAAACTTTTAGTGGAAAAAGCTTTTAGTGGAAGTCACTGATATGACCTATTTTATTGTTAGGGAACTGTAAAAAACTAGAATACAAATGGATTAAACTACTTAATTTAGTGAGTATACCATGATTGACAACATGCCTTGCAGCAGACATCGTGTCGGGTAAGCAGCGCAATTTCTCACGAAGCTCTGTGCCGGAGCGCGTATTGTTTTCAGAGAGTCACGTGATCAGCAGAAAATGAAGCCTCACTATCTGTCCAATCACGAGCGCGTGTCGGAATGTTCGAAACCCCATATCTTACTTTACGAGTAAGTTTTCATTCAGACTTATTCAATTCCATTTTTAAATACCCAGCCATACATGTAATATGAAGAATAAAAAATATTTCAGAAAAAAAAATATTTGGCATATGCAATTAATATGTGTACATTATTCTTCTATGACATCATATTGATATTCATATTGGCATTTAATGCCACAGTTTAATGGGTAAATTATTTTATCAGAGAGAGAATTTTAACAAACACACACACACACACACACACAATTTTCACAGGCTTTTGGCTGCTGTATTTTTTATTGATCACCAGATGACGCTATTTTTGACACTCGCGAAGCTTTGAATCTTTTCCCGAAACAGTCAGAGGAAAGCCTCAGTGCTTCATGAGGCTTAATTTGCCCTTCACTAGCGCCACCTACAGTACGTTGCTGTTGTGCAGTCATGTCATATATCGTCAAAATGACTTATGAACATCACTAAAAGCTTCATATGAAATCATGAGATAAATTAGAAAATTTCTGATAACTGAAAAGAGTGGACTTCACATGGGCCTTTCTTCATAGATCTTCAGGAAATGGGAGGAAGGAAGTCAAGTGATGTCATCAGTGTGATTTTTATTTCTAAATAAAATATTTTTGTTAAATGGTAACACCAGTGGCACAACTCATTTTCATTTCATTATATATTTTATAATATTTATTTGTTTTTTTTATCTTTATGTCAATTACATCATATATTTGATAGTTATGAATACATCATTGTATTTTAAATGGTAGAAAAAGAAAAAAAAAAGTTTTTGACCTCAAAAAGCACTTTCCCCCTGTACATGACTGTGGGGACGAGCAGTTTTGTGGTGATTGGAATTCTTCATGTGTGTGAAATAAGCAGTTGTGGACCCGCGCAATTTACTAACGCGCTCTTTAAATAACATTAATTACTGTGCCATTGACTTTAGACCAGGCTTCAGTTGGTCAATGGCACAGTCTATTTCAGTTACCTCAAAATAGCAACGTGCCAACAATGCGTTTGTTTTCAGACCAGCACGCCCATGAGAGCACAAATGAGTGCAAATTCTATTTAAGCAATGTGGCGCAGGACGTGAAAATGATAACTGTGTCAGGCTGAAACTAGCTGAAACTTGGCCCAGTTATGGGAAAAGTTGTGTGGACCGGAGCTGGGCCAGAAAACGTACAATTGTGGGTGTGTTGTTTTGAATTTGAAACGACAAATATCCTATATCAAAATATCCTTGTAAACACAGTCGGTTATATTTTAAGTCCCAGATGGACACATAACCCAAGGATGTTGTTTTTCATGCTAACCTGCTAAATTTTGGGGGGGTTTTAGTTTTTTTTATATTTAATTATTAGGCTATTATTTATCTTTTATTATTTTTAATTAGGCTACATCTTAACATTGTCACGTGTTTTCATTAATCTTAATTTCCATATTTAAATGCCGCAACGTTGTGTGATTTTCAGTGAAATATTTCACTAATAATTCGCTCGTTTTTCTCCTCTAATCCTCAATCAGGAGGATTGTTCCCAGATAGCAAGAACGTTTGAGCCAAATGTGGCTGATAGCTGTCACATTTGGCCTAGGTATGGCATGGCTGAGCACATATGGGCCAAACTTTAACTGTATGTGTTTTGCCATGGATTTAGAATCGGAAGGAATTTTCTTTTGGATGACAATTTTTTTGAGGTATATGGTCCAGATGATAGCACACAACTGAGGGCCATATGTGGCTTGGCTATGGCACACCATGGAATATGTTAATTTAAGGTTAGTGGCAGTCCACATCTCAGCCCATTCAACAATGCTATTGGTTGCTTTGTGTCTTCCCTTATTCCTATTGGTGGATTACTGAAATTTTTAAAATATATCCATTATTTCCCGCTCTGCTTCCTCTTTCAATCGCCGTTAAAAAAGAAGATGATGAAAAAGCTCCCTATTTACAACAACAGCCTTTGCTCAGACACATTCTCATGCAGGTTAGTGCAGTTTTGGTGTTTTAAATGTTTTCTAGGGGTGTAATGGTACACTTATTCGTACCGAACAAATACAGTGTCATTTTAACCACTGCACGTGCGGAACTTAATCCGTTTCAATTCATAGCCGTGAATAAATCTTCACTATACTTTATTACCATTCTGTAATCGTAAGGTTTGTGTTTTGTTCTTTTCGATAAGAAACAAAGTCTCAAATTATGTAAATTTTATCAGGAAATCAAATAAATAAATGCCGTTTTGACGCTCTTTGATGTGGCGTGACAGACTGCTGCAAGCGGAAGCGCGGAGAGCGACACAGTCAGCAAATTTCCTTTGGCGCGGATCTGACCCATATCAACAGCTAAAGTGTGGCCCAGATTAGTTCGTGTTTGCTGGCCCAAAACTGGTCCAGATCTTTTTAGCCAGAACTGAACCAAAACAGTGCCACAACCCAACCCAGAGTGAGCCAAATATCATCATCCCTTCCCTTTAATTCTCTGGTCAAGTCACTTTAAAATTTTCTACTAGTTACAACCGGTTATAACGCGAAATAAACATGTTCATGTCATGTAATCTCAGCATTAAAACAGCATCACCTTTACCGCAGGCAAGTCATTGTGTCCACAGCTTGTTACTAGAAAATTGCAATGTGCAATGTGTTATTACAATTCTACAATAAACATTTTAAAAAATGAGTGTGAATCCATTTTTGTGTTTAAGATTTACTGTGTAATGGGTATTTTAAATAATAATAAAAAATAGGTGTGGTGTAAATATGGTTAAATAATGGTATTTGGTTTATCAGCCACATGTGGGCCACATAATCAGCCCTTTACAGAACTCAGCCATATAATAATACCATATAAGGTCCATATATCAGCCACATCTGTTTATATTATTTGGCTCACTCTGGGTTGAGTTATGGCACTTTTAGGTTCAGTTCTGGCTAAAAAGATGTGGACCAGTTTTGGGCCTGCGAACACAAACTAATCTGGGCCACACTTTAGCTGTTGATATGGGTCAGATCTGCGCCAAAGGAAATTTGCTGACTGGGTTGATGTTGACCAAATACCATGCGCGAGGCTATAATTTTAATTCCTTTTCGTTTATTTGTGCAGATCGGCTTTTTGTAAAGAATAAGAAAAAAAACACAGCGCACCTTATAGACGCACGCACCAAGTAATTCTAATAATTTGTCCCGTAAATTCCCTCCTCTCGACGCTTCACACTCCAGTCCAGCTGGTGGCGCTAAAACGTTTGTTTGCCAAACACCATTAAACCTCAGAGGAAGACGATTAGCCTCACCGTGCTCTCTGTTGTTTTGTCGGGATGCTAAGCGGTTAGAATTGTTTCTGTAAATAGAAAAATACAGTTTTTGAATCAGGTCAGTAAATACCTGTAATATTCTCATCCTCACAGTCGTGACTTAGTTTTGAGGCAAGCAGGAATATCTGGAGGAGTAACAGCTGAACTGAGATCTGCTGCTGTGAAGATGTTGTTTGTTAAAGAGGAGAGTGAGGAGGACACGAGTGAACCAGAAACCTGGAGAATAAAAGACGAGGAACCAGAACCCTGGAGAATAAATCACGAGGAACCAGAAACTTGGAGAATTAAACACGAGGAACCAGAAACTTGGAGAATAAACCACGAGGAACCAGAACCCTGGAGAATAAAACTCGAGGAACCAGAACCCTGGAGAATAAACCACGAGGATCCAGAACCCTGGAGAATAAACCACGAGGAACCAGAACCCTGGAGAATAAAACACGAGGATCCAGAAACCTGAAGAATTAAACACGAGGAACCAGAAACTTGGAGAATAAACCACGAGGAACCAGAACCCTGGAGAATAAAACACGAGGATCCAGAAACCTGAAGAATTAAACACGAGGAACCAGAAACTTGGAGAATAAACCACGAGGAACCAGAACCCTGGAGAATAAAACACGAGGATCCAGAAACCTGAAGAATTAAACACGAGGAACCAGAAACTTGGAGAATAAACCACGAGGAACCAGAACCCTGGAGAATAAAACACGAGGAACCAGAAACCTGGAGAATAAACCACGAGGAACCAGAAACCTGGAGAATAAAACAGGAGGAACAAGGAGGTTGGTGTTCATTCTTCATAGGGCTGCTCGATTATGGCAAAAATCATAATCATGATTATTTTGTATATATGTCTAAAACTTTATAGGAGTGATTTATTTAAAGATAGTGATTCAAATATATATCAGGGCTGCAGACTAACATTTGAGAGCAGTGGCACCAGCGCCACTAAGTTGTACAGATAGTGGCGCCATGAGCAGATTTGGTAGCGCTGGGGGTGGTGCACGGGAGTATTAGAATATAGATAATTTAATCATACAATTACTATTGTTTTGCATTAATAAGTGCAGTTACTAATACTATTACATGTCCATTTCTTGTTTATTTTTCTTTTGTTTATTGTTTATACAGATTTGACAGTAAAGGACTAAGGTTGAGTTAAGATGCATACTAAATGTACTTTTATTAACAACAGTAATAGGTGCAAAATCAAATTTTTATATAGAAAAATTACATATTCCACTCGTATTAAATATTTATGTGAAATGCTTGAAAGTCATTGAAAAGTGCTTGAATTTCTCTCTCAAAAGCAGGGATCAACGCTAAAGCCCCGTTCACACCGCCAGCGACACAGAGTGACATAATCCCATTCATTTTCAATGGAGAGCTGGCGACTTCCGGCGACACGAGCGACAGTGACCATTGGCGACAGAATGTGGGCATGTCAAGCGATGCGAGTCAAGCGACAAAAGTTCAGAATTCTTCAACTTTATGCAAATAAGCAGCGAATTTCGCGAGTGGCAACCAATGGGAGTGAAGTCAGTGGAGAGCACGTGATTCATCTGCTGTAGTGGAGTGTTACGCAACCAGTAGTGGGAACACCCACTAGCGACCCTTAATTGCCAGCCACAAGTGACAAGCAGCGAAAAAGTCGCTGGCGGTGTGAACAGGGCTTAAGGATTTTTTCTTAAAATTTTTACTTGCCCTGTCAACATTTTCACTGGCCCTGCCACAAAAAAATAAAATAGTTGCTGTTATCATTGTTTTTTATCTGTTATCTTGTATTCTAATAAATAAGCTTATATGACACCAATATTTTAGATACCAATTAAATCTGACAATTCTCCATTTCAATTTCGATACCACAGCAAAAATCACTAGCCAAAAATAAACATAAATATTACGTTTAAACATTATTAAAGACAAGTGACAGCCAGTAAATAACAAATGAACAAATTACAAGTAATATATATATACTTATAACACATAATATATAGGCCTATAACACAAAAATAGAAATTAAATGATGCTTTAGGTTTTTATGTTTGTAGATGTTCAGGTACAGAAATTTAAAAATCACACATAAAATAACATTTGCATATTCTTCACTCTGTGTTGCACCTTGATTTTTCATAGCCATTTGCAATTAGAGGCAACCACTGCATTTTAATCATGAATAAAAAAAAAAGTGCAATGTTTGATTTATATTAGACTGTAAAATTTCAAAAACTGAAGCTAAAACAGAATAACCTGACTTTACCTTTGTGAAATGATGCTACATAAAACATCTGCATGACACAGAAACAGCAGGTGGGCTGAATGAGACGCAGATTCACTCTCTGACAGCAAGCTGCGCTTATGGAGTGTTTCCTTGGTTACCACTGTGCTTATTAACACTAATATAAATGCATCATACGGAGACAAAATGAAAAGAAAACGCCATTTCTGAAAACAGTCAGTTCCATTCCCCTCAGAAACACATTCATATAAAATTCAATGTTTGGATTTTCTTCCTATATCGTGAACCGTGATCTTGTTCTGCCTGCTACAGTATTTTCTCCTCTTTGTGTCTTCAGCATCTCTAGCCTCTGTTAATGGCCGTTTACAGACTAAGTATAATAATAACATAATATTTCCACACAAATGGCCATTGGGAAAATGATTGCAGTGCAGTTTGTGTGCAAGCACGGAACAAGATAGTCTGAAATAAAACAAAACATGTCCAGTAGATCGGTGCATCTGTACTCCAGTGTATAAATTCAATATAGATTAATAATTGTTAAAGCTACAAAGTTACTTGCCAGGATGGGTATTTTGACATAATTTTGTATGTATTTGCCCGTTCAGGCGGCGAGTACTGAAAGGAGTTGTCTTTTGCGCCCAAATGCTTTTTAAAGTCTTAAAAACACATGCAAATGATAAAATTTCGTGACGACGCTGCAGTGGCCCGATCGGGCAAATGACAAATCCGTCTACTGTCCCGAACATCTTTCGCCCCGGGCCATATCATGTGCGGCGAATTCAAATGCTTCTCACTGGATCTCACAGCACTGTTGCATCTGTGCAGTAACAGTGTCGCGAAATCAACTTTGGCTCCCGAGTAAAGGGGCGGTCACACTGCACTTTTCGTTCCATTGAATGTATTAAGATGCTATTAAAATATCAAATTCAATATACAGTAGGGCTGTGCGATATTGAAGAAAAATGTAATATGCGATACCTTGTTAAAAAATGCGATATTCAATATGCGATACGATATTGCTTAAAGTGTGAAAAATCTATTTAAATTATATTTTAAAAATATTAAAAATTATAATTATATAACCAATTTGTTTCACATTCTTTCTTGGAAAAGAAAGAATCACTACAACTTCTAAAAAAGTGACCATCATTGTTTTAGCAGTACATAAAAAGTAATGTCACAAATCAGACATCAAAGTGAACATACAAACAAAAAAATTAATGACACTAATTTTATATCATTGTAACGTTGCTTTCTATTAGGCTTGCTGCGAGAGACGGTGTTTTCGGTTATACCGGTGTTAAGCTACAACACCGGTTACGTCATTTGCCTACCGCGACACCGCCCCCCACTGTGGGGTAATAGTAACAAAAATCATTTAGCCTAGTTCAGTTAGGGAACAGACACTGTTAAGAACTAAACGCTCAATGCAGTGTGCCGAACCGTGCGCGAACGTTCACCACGGAGCAGGGGTCAATATTTTATTTATCACGTGAGGAAAGTGAGTCGAGCTGACTGACAAGAGTAAGGTGAGAAAGACAAGACGATGGCAGAAGATTGTTTAGAAAGGAAATGCAAAAGGCGCCTGTTTGGCAATATTTTAGATTTTGAAAAGCCTATTGACTGGAAATTTTTTTAAACATCCGTTTCTTATTTATTTGTTTCCACAGTGTTTACGGATTACTTTATTTAAACTTTGTGTATTTTATTTATTTTATTTTATATCAAGGTGTATATGCCGTGCCTCCAATCTTCCTTATTCGTTTTGCTAATAAACGTTCTATGTTTCTTATTTATCTGGTTCCACAGTGTTTGCTTATTTTCTTTTATTTACCTATTTAAACTTTGTGTAGCCTAAGTAATTTGATATTTTATTAGGCATATGTAGTGTATTTTTATTCATTTTGTTAATAAAAGTTCTATCAGTTTGACGTTGTTGTTGCTTGAATTGAATCAATGCTGAATTGCTTTTTCAAGCTATTTGAAAGCAAAGAAATCCAAGGAAAAGAGGGAAAACGCAAACAAACAATTGCTTGACGCCGAATTGCGGCAATTCAATTGGCACTAATTTGAAAGTGAAAGTAAAATGCACACAGCACTTTTACAAGCCATTTGAAAGCAAAGAAAAGAGGGAAACTCAAACGAACTAACAACCCCCGCCCCCCCAACCCAACAGTAATATCGGTATTACCGGTGTTATCACACGTCGATTAACCGGTGGGAACATTTCCTCACCGCTACAACCCTACTTTCCCTCAATAGGCGGCCAGCGGGCCACATCCGGCCCGTGAGAGAAAAAAGTTTACCCCACGCTAATTTCAAATAATGTGGCATGAAAATTCAAACGCCGCATCAGAAAGCTACATTAACTTACATCGTGTCTACACCGGATGCGAGTGGCGCAGCGTGACGCAATAAAATACAATATTGTTATAATCGATGTGACAGCAAAAACATGGCGAGTGTGAAGGAAGGGACATGGAAAATAGATGATTCAAATGTGAATGGACTGAACAGTTTTGAGTGAGTGAGTGACTGATATCTTTGTTATGGAATACACGTGTTGGTTCACAGTGAGTTAACAGTTTTAATTTACAAGTTTGCTTTAATTTTTCAAGATCTGAGGTAAAATATTTATTGTTGCTTTCACTATGGCTATAAAGATAACGCAAAATAATATTCAAACTCACATTAGACACTTTTAACATTGAATAAAGCACATAATCATTACCTGAGATTATCGCTGTCATATTTTGTATGTTGTTTCTTCCTGCAAGTAAAGATTGCAAGTGACATTGTAATTTCGTTTATTTTTTCTTGTCTTCACCACCTGGCTACTGTTGTAAAATGTTGAGAGATTCAAGCAAAAAGTAATGAATAAATACAACAAAATAAAAAAGACTGCAAGTGACGTCACTAGCGGAAGCACAAGTGTCTGAGAGTGCAAGTCTGAGAGTGCAAGTCTGCAGCCAGACCCTTCTCCTTTTGATCAGCGGTGAGCATGGCTGCTGTAGTTGCTCTTTTCCCAAGAAGGCTGAACCCAGTGATACCTTTTTCTTCTTAGGCGCGGTGCCAGCACCTGATTCCTCTTCCTCTTCTCTGACTTGTGCGGGACTGGATGTCGGACTTGTGTGTGTTGCTGCTGCTACCGCCATCTCTGGAACCAGTTCAGTTTTTGTGGCACTTAGCTCGGGTGGTTTCATGTGGTCTCGTCTAGGGCTGGGCGATATGACGATATTATTGTATATCGACGGTGTCTCGTAAGTATCGAAATGTCGATGGTAACAGACAATTATCGACATTATCGGGAAAAATGACATGATAAACCTAGTAAGTTGCAAGATTTCTGTATGCACATTTATTGTGATTTCAAAAGATTCTACTGCAAGAAGACGAAATATAACTCACTTCTGCACTCCCGCGCTGTTTTCCGTGCTGTGCACTCACACACACAAAGCGCACGCACAAAAGCCGCCTCTTTTATACGCGGACACTAGACTGAGCTCTCTTTCTCGCGTTCTTACACATTCGAATGGACAA